GCAGAACTAGACAGAGCGCGCTGTAAAAGCAGGCGGGAGCGGGATGGTGCAAGGGACCGTGGTGCTCGTTAGGAACCGTGCTGTGTCGTTCTGTTTGCTTCTGGGTGTATATACTGATGCCTACAGAGCATCTAGATCAGCACCTGCCTGGCCAGTAGCAGACGGTCAGTACATGTCAGGGACCTGCTGGGACCTGGGTTTCTAAAACACAGCGCCAATGACAGGCAACATAGATGCTTTCTGCGTTTGCTGGGGGTGGAGGAGGGGTGGAAAGGTGGGGAGCAGCATTCTTGGGGAGAAAAGCTCTCTGGGTTGCTCCAACGAGATATATATATGTTTTCCCCTTGGAATTGCCGCCACTGAGTCAGGTCAGACACAATCTTCTCGACCTCTCTCCGGATTCTGAGGTGAGAACGTGGTTTTCAGGCAGCAAACTTCAGTCAAGACAGGCTCCTCCTCCCCCTCTTCCAGCGGGTAATGAACCTTGGCCTCAAGGCTCATTAAACCCCATTATATAATCACCCCCATACCGAGTCTCTTTATAACCCTTCCGGTGGCTGGTTTCTTGGGAGTAGGCAGTTCGGCTTCATCGGTCTTTATTGCTACCTGCTGCTGCCTCCTTCCCCAAATCAGGCGCCCGCCTCAGCCCCAGGCACGCCAGGCCAGGCCCTCGGCAGAGTGACAGCTGTCTGTTGCCTGGTCCCCAGGACAAAGAACAGGAGCTGCTTGGAGAAGAGCTGGGGAGAGGGCAGAGTAAGATGGGGGAGGGGAGGGCATGCCGCCTTCTAAGACACCTCCTGAAGTATTTCATGAGACAGGGGCCTCGGACAGAACGCCAGCTGGTGTCATTAGGACCAAGATGGGGACGTCCAGGGACCATCAGTCACTTGTTCCCTCTGGTGGCTGCTGCCCTGAGTGCTGGACCCCCACAGGCAGCTCATAAAGAAGCACAGAGAAAACTGCAGGGGGGAAAGTACCCTGTCATTCCTCATCCCCAGGACGGATGAGGTGCAGAAGCTGGAGCTGAATTCTTGCAGCTGCCGGTCCCCCACCCCCACCCTCAGGGATGGCCACCACCTGGGACCATGGATGCTCTGAATATCGATCGACACTGAGTCCTGGGAGGTACCGACTGGTGAGCCGGTACAGGCACTGCTCTCTGGAAGGCAGCCTGGAGGCCAGGCTGTTCTCCCAGCTGGGCAAGTGCCACAACCTGAACAAGGTCCCTACTTGAAGAGCAAGCAGGCTTCCGTGAGGGCGGCTTTGCGATCTCATTCCGCAGGGGATGGTAGGGTGGCGGGTTCGGAATGAGTGCAAACTCCACCTCCTTCCCGACCTGGTGACCTTGGGTCAGTTCCATACACTCAGCCCGTTTCCTTGTCTATGAAATGGGGGTACTAAGAGCACCTACCGTATGGAGGAGTGGGAAGCTTACGTGAAATAACAGGTGTAAGCTGCTTTAGCCAACTTGGTGGTACCTGGAGCCTTGTCAACACACAATAAATGCCAGTGGCTATTACTACCACCATGTTCTTCACCGTCACACACTACCCCAGCGCACAGCATACAGCAATCGCTCCCAACGCCACCCTTTATTGAAACCTGGTGCTCGAAGCCCCAGCCCTGTGCTAGGACATTTACATGCATTCCTCATTCTGTCCTCACTATGGATCCCTGCAGGTAGAGCCGGGCTCAGGGCTCTGTGACTTGCCCAGTGACACCTCAGCAACCACTTAGTTGCTGTCAAGCCGAAATCGCTTCCACCAGCTGGTAACGAATGAAATGATTCCCTCCATCTAGGAGGCATTTTCTCATTCTGAAGAAGCCTCTTTACAGGGGTCATAGAGGCTGCCTGACCTAAGGCAGCTGGGTCAGAGACCCTTCAAGGAGTCACTGGCAAACAGCTTGTTGGACCAAAAGCGTGGAGGGCATCCGATCAGATGGTCCTAGGGCAGCGTGGCGGGTGAGAAGGCAACGCCGAGGAAATGCAGCGGGGACGGAAGCCACGTCCACCACCCTCTGCTTCTCTGGGGAGCCGTTCCCTCCTGAGTCAGCACCTTCCACGGAGCACAGTGGAAGGCCATCCTCGTGTTCTGTGCATGGCTAGCCTTGGAGACAGATCCCTCCATACTCGGGGGCTCCTGCCACTCCCCTCCCTCCCCAGCTGGTCACCCCCAGACCAGGGAAGTAGGACAAGCCCTGAGGAGGTGAAGTCCTCACAGCCCATCCGAGGTGGCTCGCACCCTGAGGGCCCGAGGTTCGGCTCGGTCCTCTCTGGCCTAATGCTGTCTCCCGGCATTACGGTCGGGGGTAATAAGATGGCATGTCACCTCCCCTCACACTGAGGCCACAGCCAGAGCTGACAGTGACAAACGGTAGGCAGACTCGGCCTGGCAGGGACACCGCCCCAGGGGCTCCCTGGCTGGCACGGTAGGGGGGGGGGAGGGGACTAGAGGCAAGAAGTTCTCTTCTGAAACTCAGAGTAGTGGGAGAATGGGACGATTACAAGCAGGGGAACCAGTGCCCAGCAGCTGTGTTCTCCCAACAGCCTGGCCCGGAGTCTCCACACCAGCTTCCTCAGTGAGTTAGGAGGTGCCCAGGGGAAGCTCACTGGGTGAGCCTTAGGATCACAGAGTTTCTAAGCTCTGAAACAGACCCTCGTGGAGTCTCTAATTGTCCAGTTGGGGAAACTGAGACCCCGGGAGATAGAGACAGGAACTCACTGCAGGAAAGAGATGGAATCTGAGCAGGCTAGAGTTGGGCCTGGGTTCAAAACCTACCAACCAGGCAACATCATTCACCTTCTGAGCCTCAGTTTCCTTATCTGTAAAATGGGAATAACAATGCCTGTCTCAAAGAGTGTGGTCAGCCTTGACGGTGGCAAGGCAGGGACAACGTCACACAGGCAATTGGTGGCAGCACAGAGACTCGGAGAGAGAGCTTTCCGAGGCCTGATGTGGAGCCCATGCGACCAGGCTGCCTCGTTCTGTCATTTGTTAGGGTCAATGCAAACGGGGCTGGTCCGCAGGGTCCAGCTACTATTTGGTTACACACTCATTCTCCCAGTGAGGCTCCATGCGCTGGTCCTCCTTTCAGAGAGATCCAGGGGCCTCCCTGTCCACAAGGACCAGCCCTGTCCCAAGAGGCACCTGTGCTCCCAGGGCCTCTTAGCCAGGAGCTGCTCCCGCCACAGGCACAGGGAGAAGCCGCGCCTCTCGGATGGAGACCAGCGCAGGTGCCAATGTTGGGAGCCACGGTGAACTCAGCCCGGCTTCCTCGTCCGTAACACTCTCTTGGCTTTAGATAAATGTGCCAGTCCATGGTTTGTTTTGTTTCTAAACAAGCTATAGGTGTTTCTGCTCTGGCCAGAACGAAAGAACAGAGCTGTGGCCAACCCCTGCGAGAGGGGCTAGACTAGAGAAAAGAGGCTGATACATATCCTAACAGCTGCCAGTTATGAAGCACTTCCTGTGCAGACAGCTCGACACACACGAGCTTATCTAATCCTCACAAACATCTATGAGATGCCTCTATTGTGATCCCCATTTTACAGATGAGGAGACTGAATCTCAATGAGGCTCTTCAACTTGCTCAAGGTCAGGCACAGGGCTCAAAAGCAACCACGGTGGGACTGGAACCCGGGCACTTCCCCCAGGGCTAGGACGGCCTGCCTCCCCCCGTCTCACTCACCTGCTATGTCATCACATCTTTTCCTCATCCGGGCTCACTGAGCCACCCTCCGACAGCCACGTGCCTGCCACGCAGGCCCACTGCCACGGAGCAGGTCTGGTCTCTGACAGTGATCCCTCCTGAATAATTGGTAATCGGCTTTCTGGTGCTGCCGTGGGCCGCGAGTGCTATTTTGATCTGCTTTGTTCAGGGCCTGCACCCCCTGGGCCTAAACAAGCCAGGCTCTGGAACTTCCCCTAGCGACGTCCACATGGGCCTCCTGCTCCCGAGTGGATGCAGGCTCCACATCAGTGGACTGCAAACTGAGCTCGGCCCCGCTCCTCCTGAGTTCCCAGGAAATAAAAGATCTTGTCTTGGCCCTGGATGGTGTGCTCAGTGGTTAGAATGCCGGCCTGCACACCAGAGGGTCACCTGTTCAATTCCAGTCAAGAACATGTACCTGAGTTGCAGGTTTGCTCCCCGGCCACAGTTGGGGTGCATGTGGGAGGCAACCAGTCAATGTGTGTCTCTCACATCAATATTTCTCTCTCTCCCCCTCTCCCTCTCCCTCTCCCTCGCTCTCTCCACCACCTTCCCCCCTCCCCTCCACTCTCTCTGAAAAGCAATGAGGAAAATACCCTCAGGTGAGAGTTAGCAACAACAACAGAGAGATCTTGTCTTGGCCAGAAGACTAGTTGGGCTTTCCTCAGGGGCTCCCCTCTGAAAACGGCTGTGCCTGTTCTGCAAAACGGGCCTCTGGGAGGAGAAGATTAAGTGCCTTCTAAGACCTCAGCCCTTGATCGCCAGAAAGTTCCATTTCCGCTCTGAGTAATAACAACTTTATCTGCAGCAGAATCCACAGGAGCAGAATGTTAACCACCCTGGGCCATGCTCAGCCCAGTGTGAACCCAAGTGCGTCTTGGAGATGTAAAGGTTACACTGTGCTGACCTGTGTGGGGGAGGGTGAAATAACAAAACACAATCACAGGAGCCTTATCCACAACAGAAAGAGAAAAAGGCTGGCACCGGCAGCTGAGAAACAGGAGAGAGAAAGCTGACATTCCCATCCTTGAATACCCTGCACACTGGCTTCCCTCTGTTATCCCAACACACCTGCCGGGCCAATGACAACAGCCAGTTGACCTGGAGCGCCGATGACACCCCTTCCCTTGAATCCATTCAAAGAGGCGTGTGTGGCGCAGGTGGGAGGTGGCAGGCAGACACAGATGAGGCGTATTCGGCGAACATTTCAAGAGCATTTTCACCAAAGAAAAGGAACACGGAGCGAGCGCGCACCTGGCAGAGAGCGCAGCCCTGGTGCAGTGACTTACTTGAGGAGAAGTTGGCCTCGCTGTGGACCGGAGGGGTGGAGGGCAGGAAGGGCCCTTGTCCCACGAAGAAGGAGCGGAGGGAGCGCTCGCACAGGAGCGGGGAGCGCTGCTGAGCTGGGATGTTCTCACAGCTGCCCACGCTGCTGTGGATCTTGAGGTTCAAGGGCTTGCTTTTCTTCTTGGCTCTGGAAGGGGGACAGAGAGAGGGAAGTGTATGCGTACACACACAATGAGAGCAGGGAGAGCCCATCTCCTTAGCGCGGCCCAATACCCACTCCCACCTTGACCGGGCCCTGTGGCCCTCGCCATGTCCGTTTCTCACCTCCAACCCTTTGCTTATGCTGTCCCCAATGCCAGGAATACCATCCCCTTCTTGCCTGGTTAATCCCCATCTGTCTTTTTTTAAATTTTTGTTTATTAAATTGACTGGGGTGACATTGGTCAACATGAACATACAGGTTTCGTGTGTGGGTTTCTATGTTACAAGATCTGTGTGTTGCACCGCGTGCCCGCCACCCAAAGTCAAATCTTCTCCTGTCACCTTGTATTAGGATCTCCTTCCCCCCTCCCACCTTCCCTCTGGCTACCACCACACTGCTGTTTGTGTTCTTAAGGTTCAGATTTATATCCCACATGAGTAAAATCATATGGTTCTTAGCTTTTTCTGACTTATTTCACTTAGCATAATGCTCTCAAGGGCCATCCATGTGCAAATGGCACTATTTCATCCTTTCTTATGGCTAAGTAGCATTCCACTGTGTGCATGGATAAAGAAGATGTGGCCCCTATGCCCATGGTCCTTTATGACTTGTCTCTGGGGTCCTCCCCTCCTGGAAGCTTCCCTGACACCCAATGCCCCCAGCAGGGCTGAGCGTTCTTCCTCTAAGAAGCCCTGGCTTGGGTTGGCTGTTCCTCCTCAATTCTCCTAAAATAGTCTGTATATATTTCTGTGGCGGTGCTTTCCTATTTTTCCAAATTCGCTCTTTCAGTTTTTATCATCCAAGTGGACTGAGTCTTTGAGGGCAATGATTCTGTATTGTTCATTTCTCTGTCCTTGGCAAGGATAGCACAAAACCTGCACACAGTAGGTGCTAACTGAATGCTGATTCAGTGCCCGATCTGGATTAAGACTCTGGCACTTACCATACTGCATTCTAATACCCTGTCTTCCACACTCGACCGCGGGCTCCTTGAGGGCAGGAACCTGTGGTTTCCGTTGTTGGCGCTCTCAGATCCTTGCTTGGCACCCGCTGGATAGAATGAACCTCCCCAGCTGGTTTGGAAACATGCCCCCACTTCCGAAGAGCTTAGGTGATCAGGTTATGAGAGTTTGCTTTGAAATGGCATCCAAAGCTAAGCTCACTGTTCTCCTCCCCACCTCCCCACAGCACCCCATTCAGGTCTGGCCAGGAGTTGGGCGCCCTCTTGTGGCCAAAGTGAACCCTCCTTGCAAATGTCCAAGCTCTGGAAGGAGTGCCCAGGAAGGTGTGTTCATATAAGACTGGAGGGCTCCCATGTGAGCAGCCCTGCCCAGGCGCCTGCTGCTCCTCCGCTGTAAGGAGCCCAGGGGTGCCCACGGAGCCGCCCCTCACAGGGCCCGCCGTCAGCCCTGCGAGTCATCTCCCCAGGGGCCTGTGGCAGGCCCAGGACGCGCCTCCGGCTGCAGCAGCACCTGGTGGTGGCTCTCCCTGGCCATGGCGGAGAAGAGCAGGAAGCAGGGAAGCGGTGGCATTCATTCCACACGAGTGCCCAGTGGTGCAGATCCAAAGAGACAGTGTCATTTAGGAGTGAAACTCCCCGGCCCTGGGATCAGGGAGACCAGGCTCGGGTCCTGACCGTGACCTCAGAAGAGTGCTCTCATCTCTGGGCCTCAGTTTCCTCAACTGGACAGTGAGAAAAATAACAGCGCCTACCTACGGGGGATGTCATGACAATTCTACGAGATCATGTGCCTGGCACAGGGCCTAGCACAGAACGAGGGTTCAGGTCACCCATTGTTAACGTCACTATGATCAGGTTAAATTCAGTGTCTGTGTAGCATGGGAAGAACCTCAAAGAAGCCAGGCTGTGTTTTTCATCTGAAACATCCACCAACTCTCAACTCACTCCCCCGACAAATGAAAAGGGTGCAGTCAAACCCTTTAGCAGAGATACTGTTGTCATCCCCAAACCACAGGCAGGAACTGTGAGGGCCACCAAGTGATGAGGCCAGGTCCTTGTACAACAAGCATGTCAAACTCAAAGGCTAGCATGGGCCAAATAAACGCCACATGCCGGCTGAGGGCCACAAGTTTGACATGTTTTTTGTACAAGGAGAACCGAGTCTAATCCAGCACAAGTTTAACAGTAGCTTAATGAGAGTCCAATTGCCTTAAACAGATGGGGCAGAGAAGGGGTGTATCTAAACAAATGATAGTTGGACAGATGGATGGATTAAAAAGATGAATAAATGGATGGGTGGGTGGATGGGTAGATGGATGAACAGAAGGATGGATGGAGGTAAGAATGGATAGATGGGTGGATGGATGGAAGGAAAGGAGGGAAGGAGGGCGGGAGGGAGGGAGGGAGGGAACATGGAAGAAAGGATGAAAACAGAAAGATGAAATGAATAAAGGACGGAGAGGATGGGAGGAAGGCAGGAAGGAAGCGTAGGATCCCTGAGGACAGACACAGCTTACTTTTCTTTCTCTAGTCCCTGGCCACCCCCTGCCTAGGTCTCTAGCTGGTTCTGCACACAGAAGGCTCTAGCTCAGCACACATTAGCCAGCCGCCTCTCAGCGCCCTCCCCACAAAGAACACCGAGGGGCCTCCCCATCTGGTGTTTCGTCTCTGCCCCATTTCCTGCTCCAAGGTCTGTTGGGCTTTGGGTTACGCAGAGCCACCAGCTCACATGGCCTCTTCACCCTCAGCTTCCTTGAGTGTGGGGTTGTGTCCTCTTGAACTCAAGAGCCATCACCCGGCCAAATCCCTCAGCGTCTCATTAGCAGTGTCTGGAGCGTCTGGCCTGCCAGTTGGGAGGAAATGACAGGGCTGGGAACAGACAAGGTCCTTGCAGTCATGGTGGGAGGACAGGCGTGAGCTCACATTCTCCCACACCACCCTGTGCAGCACTACGTGCTAACCCGTTTACTGGGACACAACCATTTCCCAAAACTGGAACAAATGCCCGCTGGTCTCCCACGTGGCTCAGTGAGCTGGCCAACCTCTCCATCAGGCCCTTTAAGTCCTTAGCAGTTGGCCTGGTCTGATGACCTACTAGGAGGCCTCCAGGAGAGGCCCTCTTCGAAACCAAATAGCACCAGTTCTTGGGTGATAAGGGAGGGGCAGGGGTACCTACAGACCCTCAATTCAGGTGCTCAGATTCCAGGCATGGGGGGGCTTGAAAAAACAGGGGCCTGCCGGGCCCGTGTGGCTCAGTGGTTGAGCACCGACCTATGAACCAGGAGGTCCTGGTTCCATTCTCAGTCAGGACACATGCCCAGGTTGTGGGCTTGATCCCCACTGGGGGGCGTACAGGAGGCAGCCAATCACTGATTCTCTCTCATCACTGATGTGTCTATCTCTCCCTCTCCCTTCCCCTCTGAAATCAATAAAAATATATTTAAAGAAAGAAAAACCAAGGGCCTGGTAAGTCTAACACTGGGAGGATATTTCGTGAGAGGCCACTCTGCTCCTTGGCTACAGTGTAGGTGGCCACCCTCGTTTCTGGCTTGAGCACACCCCAAGCGTGGCATTAATAAACCGGGCTCTGGCGAGAAAGGAGCACGAGGACTCCTTCAAATGCCTCTCCCCAGGTGTGCAGGAGCATGCCATGCTTTTAGATGACCCATGAGTGATATTTTTGTATTTTAGTAGCTAAAATTGGAAAAATAAGCTTTCACACCACACCAAATTATTTCCTGGCATACAGCTTTATGTAAAATACACTAAGAAGAAGAAAAAGAGGAAGAGAATGAAGGACAAGGAGAAGAGAAATTGAAAGAAGGTGAGAAAGAAGGAGGGGTAGGAAGAGATGGTGATTGAAAAAATGTTACGTAAATTCATGGTTCAATTCCTGGTATAGGTCCCACCAGAATGCCCTGTCCCCGAGCTATCTTTCCACCCAAACTGGACCCAGACCCTTCCCTTCTCTGGCTTGGCCTGGCCGTGAACAAATCACCCAAAGTAACCCCCAAATCCTACTTCCCGAAGCCTAATTCACCCCAAGAGCGGCCACTTCTGCCACCTGGTATGTTTTTCCACATCCTGATCCCGTCCTCCTGGGGTTGGCTGGGTCTTGTCACAGCACCTCTATGTTTCTTCAAGCTCTGGGCACAGTTTTGGAGGACACACATGTTTTTCTGATTATGTGATGACCGTGGGCCTTGCCCACCTGTCTAGAAGTGGATCCAAGAAGTGAATTCAAGAACGTCCTCGTGCTTCCAGTGCACATCCCATAAAAGCTGGTGGGCTCCTCGTGGACGTGAGTTGGAGGGGCGGCCCTCCAGTGGGTCCACTTTGCCTGGATGCTATGAACGGGCCAGGCTGGCCCCCCACCCTGACTATCCATTTCTAATAGGAAGTGTTTGCTGCATAGAGTGCCTGGGGAGGGAGGAGGGTGGTAATGAAACTGCAGGGAGGGTAAGGGCCTGCAACGAGCCCACCTGGGGGGTGATTCCAGCACGCAGGACTGCTGACGTCAGCACTGAGGTCCGGCGGGCTGAGTGGGCAGGAGTCAGGCCCTGTGCTGGGGACATGCTATCTCATTTGGGAGAGGAACAATTATGGCCTCCACTTCATAATTAGGGTGACTGGGGTTTTCAACAGTTAGTAACCCAGATCACAACTCCATAAAGGCTTGGAGTGTGGTCACAGATTTCACTGACTTCAAAGCCCGATATATATGTAATTGATTTCAGAGAGGAAGGGAGAGGAGGGGGGAGGGAAAGATAGAAAGAAACATCAATGATGAGAGAGAATCTGACCGGGGAAAGATAGAAAGAAACATCAATGATGAGAGAGAAACCGAGTATGTGTCCTGACTGGTTCAACCACTGAGCCACTCCGGCCGGGCTCAAAGCCTGTCCTTAATCGTTCTATTAATCCTGCTGTAGGAGCTCCTCATGTACACGCCCATTTTACAGGCGTGCTTGCAGAAACCCAGAACTGTCCAGTGGTCGGCAAACTCATTAATCAACAGAGCCAA